CATGAGCGAACGCCAACCTAAAACAATGTTTTCCACTTTTATAACCTAGCAGTTTTTCCACTCCGACTGGGGTTAAATACTGTTTGTATCCCGCATGACGTGGAATTGACACGTCTTCTGTTCCCGCTATTAATACGCACAATATATCTTTCTTAGTGCTTTCGATCTTTCCTCCTTCCGTCCGATAAGGGTTTAGGAAAGGGTTCGTAACCTCCATCTTGATTTTATCGGGCTTATTTTCTCGATCGCGCACGAACTTTTATAGTCTCTCAATATTTGTATGCAACAGCCTTGTCATAAATAGTAAAGACCATAATAGTAACTAATTCGTTACTGTAACGTGATGATTGATTTTTAAGACAATTAGTTAACAAATAAGTAATGAGAGCACGGTGATGGTCAGAGTAGGCACTATTAGTAAATTTCTGATCAGCAAATTTCTTTTGAAATATAGATACCTGCAATTCTGAACTAAATTTCATTACACGAAGGATGAATAAGCAAAGGCACTTTGACCAACATTAGTTTGCTATATTGGTATGGGTTGGTGAGTTTTTAGTGGAAGAAAGTATTGAGGTATCATTGAAAAGTCATACAAAAAAAATATGTCGTCAGTGTCATGTACCCAATTCGTCCTGACCAATATTCAAAGTGAATATGACGTCACAGTGTTAGACACAAAGTATACACCAATAAAGTATTGACTAAACCAATAAGTTTTGACCTTTGGTTAATGTCTGAATTGATTTTTCGCATTCCAAAAGAAAATTCAACGAGGAAACCTAGAGAGAATAGAAAAATTAATTTGATGACATTTTATTGACGTGACTTCCAATAGCGCATGACTTACGGTGTTTCGCATTGAAAAGGTTGCGATGGAATATCTGTCGTTATCGGTTTTAAAGATCAGTAAATATAGTACAATTCTGAGAAGGATGAATAAGCAAAGGCACTTTGACCAACATTAGTTTGCTATATTGGTATGGGTTGGTGAGTTTTTAGTGGAAGAAAGTATTGAGGTATCATTGAAAAGTCATACAAAAAAAATATGTCGTCAGTGTCATGTACCCAATTCGTCCTGACCAATATTCAAAGTGAATATGACGTCACAGTGTTAGACACAAAGTATACACCAATAAAGTATTGACTAAACCAATAAGTTTTGACCTTTGGTTAATGTCTGAATTGATTTTTCGCATTCCAAAAGAAAATTCAACGAGGAAACCTAGAGAGAATAGAAAAATTAATTTGATGACATTTTATTGACGTGACTTCCAATAGCGCAAGACTTACGGTGTTTCGCATTGAAAAGGTTGCGATGGAATATCTGTCGTTATCGGTTTTAAAGGTAAATGTCATTAGTGGTGAAAATATGAGCTTAGGTTCGACAATTCATTACTCTTCATTACCTGTAATACGTTCTAATTGGGTAAACATTGGAGATATATCTTAACTTCCTTAATCAACCCCAATTATTAATAAGTTTCTCGGGGTAGTTTCGGTTTATTTGGTTTTCAAGTATCCACTCTTGCACCTTAAGCGGAGTTGACGCAAGATCAACACAGCGATTTAAGTCAACACCTTGAGGGTCCCGTATAATACTTTGTTACCAAAATATGAACTTCCCCGAGGACAATTTTAATGTAAGCCTTTAATCGGATCACACAAAATCCGAGCTGTCTACGCTATGTCATGGATCAACAATCTGGGGAGTTATTACAATCTACGTCAAAAACATTCGATTTACGCCAATAGTTTTCAGCAACGCCGAACAGATGTGCATAGGGTTATAAATCGAAAAGTTTTTCGCCAATAAATGCAACCCCTCGCGCGATAATCAGGCACGAAATTACGCGAGCAAACAAAAAAGGCGTTATAAATTCAACTTTAAAAATATACGCGAATAGGTATATAGAAAATTGGATACGCCCCGAGGTGACGCGTAGATGTGGCAATGCAATTTGTAAAATATCTTTCGGAATAAATTTTGTTTATTGTGTGGCTTCCTGCATTTCTCTACTAGTTCGCCTTCTACCTTACATTTGATTACGTAAATGCTGCTGCTTTAGGAAAACGAGAAACCAAACGAAATAAAATGTATCCGCCATCCTCATTATAAACCCAAAAAATGTTTTTCTCTCCCTTTTACACTTATAACAAAAAGGACGCGCGGTCTGCACCTTTTTTTCGCATTTAAAACGTTGCGCGCCCGTGTTTATTATAAAATGAAAGGTTCGTTCCATCCTCGCCCTTTACAGTAGGTATATGAAACTCGTTAACGTGAACGGATATCAAAATCGAGCTCGGGGGCGAAATACTTTCCGTTAGTTTATCGCGCGTGGTCTACTAGTTTATTGTTGTACAATTTACGTTAGTTTAAACTAATGGGTTCGTACTGTTTTAGCTGACGTAGGGGAATAGTGGCGATCTGATAATCACGCGAATAAGGTGACTTAAAGCTGCAGATAAGGGTGTAGAGGAACTACGCCAGCTTACCATATCGCTGGGTATTCTAAGTACCTAACTGTACAATGGACGTTACTTGTCGAAATTGGGTTGTTCATTATTTTGTTCGAACCGTTTTGCTGCGTGAGGTCTTTTGTAGTTTATTAAGAGCGATTATCGATTGATCAAAGCATTGTCTAGCGTTATTAACGTTACCCTTTATAACAAATAAAGTGTGGTAGAGAGAGAGGTCGAATCAGGATTAAATTTTAGCATGAGATGAACCAGATGTTCAAAATAAAAAATCCCTAATAATTTTGACAAAGAGAATCATTCAAGTGCAATTAGAGGGGTTGGACAACTCTTCGTTGAAATTATCGAATCTGAATTTTTTAACAAGAATTTTAAATGACTTCCGGCTAGCCATTACCATGATTGTTTTACTGTAACTTACTGGAAAATTCTCCCTACGAATTCCAATTAACCAGATAAATTTTCGCGGCCACAATTTTCTGAACTAACCTGAACTTAATACTGTAACGAAATTATGCTCCGGTGTCATTTAGATCTGTCTAGAACCTTTCATACGGTATCGGCTTCCTGTAGTGGGGGAATCCAATAAAGGATTTTGACTTATTCGAATGCATCAGCTCAAGGTAAGGTGGGTTGACAACGTGTTGAAAGGTGTGTATTTCAATCTGCCGATTGCCACACGCCAAGGTGGAGCAAATCGTCAGTAACGTTCAATATGTTCAACAGTTGAAGCTCGCAAACCGACAGATGAACTATCAGAGACACATGGAGCATATACACTATCAGTATCTGACGCGCTCGAGTATTTTCACGTTACTATTTATTTTGCACACTAGCAAAAAGAAGTGTAGACGCCCCCCTCCCACCGGTGGAGGGAAATACATCATATATTTTTTCCTACTACCATCTAATCTACAAAGCTCTATGGGTCCATACGACGCTTGAGTAAATCTCCATATAGCATCGTGGGCTCCCATACAGACAGGAAATAAATAGGAAGCTCGATAAGATAAATTACGAATGACGACAAGGATATAGACGAAAAAAATTAATCAGACTGTGGGAAAATATTTGTCGAAAGTTATATGGGATTATCAGCGTGACTGGGATCAGTATTTGCATTTGTTTTAATGACGAATAGATCTGGAGTACATGAAAGCACGGGAGACACTCCGACGTCGGTCTACTCTTCAGTAGAAAATCCGAATTTCCTGTAGTCAATGACGAGTACATGGAGAACCTTCGCCTCAAAATGGGAGCCATCCACGAAAAAGTTCGAGATCAAAGAATATTTTAGTTGTGTAAATATAGAAATACAACTGTTATCGGTCGAGGACAAATTGGTTAAACGTGCCAGTGTTTACGGTCGCTATTCAGTCACTCCGGCGTGAATGCCACAAATTGGATTGAACTTCCTACTTAATTCTTAACGACAATACTCTGAATTTAAACACACGTGTTTGAAAGAACCCTCAATTTGTTGTTTATATAGATATATTATATTGTTACTATATTTAATGTTCACACTTTTTCTTATTAATTTTGGTAATACCTTCCTTTTTTACCAAAAATCGACTGCATCAAAATATGTCGGGAAAACACTTTTTCTTATTAATTTTGGTGCGTAGAATCCAAAACAATTCGTACTTTTTCGATCAGACTTCTCAATCAAAAGTTATAGACTAGAAACCAATTTCGAAATAAAATTCAAAGGGCTGTAACTTTTGAACTAGTAGCCCAATCTTGCAACTGTTTGAAATTATGGTTTCTGCGATTATCGTTTCTACAGATCGATTCTTGGTAAAAAAGGAAGATAATACACTGCCTTTTTTTGAGGACCGAAACAAAAATTGTCTCTGATCGACCCGGAAAAAAAATTTTATTATTATTATATAATGTTAAAGTGTGGGAATTTCTCCCCTAATACAAAAGACGGTTTGAACCATTAAAAAACAATTACGTTTAATACCTTGTGGCCCTGTCGAAGTTAAAAATGTTATAAAGATTGTTCGCCCGAAAAAACTTCATCCAGAGGACGACTTAATGGCAGGTTTGTAATAGAAAAAGGTATCCGAAGGAAATCCAATTCGCAATATCGCCATCTACCAAAGGACATTGTTTATATCAGGTAACATTATTTTAATTATGTAAAATTGAAGATAATGTGGTAATTTTCGTAAGCGATACCCAGAGCAAATATTTTGAATCCAAAATAATGTTTGGAAGAGGGGGGTGATATTTCAAGCGACAGAGTATTGCCCGTCGCGATTCTTTCGGTGGGGAATATTTCGGGCTGGGGCGAGCTCTCTTGAGCGCGATTATCCCGGTGGTGAATTTCTAAGGGCAAATTTTCTACGGTCAATCTCCCTACAACCAAACCATTATCAGTGTGTAATATTGTATGTTCTTCGCATGAGTGTAACACTCGTAGATTAACATTATTCAGTATTTCCCTGCAAAATAAAGCCATTCGAGGCAATTATAAAGAATATACGGGATAAGGAAGAATCATTAACACGAAGGTGAGGGAATGTTCTGTATTTTTATACCCCCAAACTCACAACCTGCACCTGATTCTATCAATGACATCCCCGCCAGCTGCAGGTGCTGGTGCAAAAATACATTGTTGAAGATTATCTTTATAGCTACGATTTACAGCGTACTGATCTAACTCTGTGACTCCCGCTTTAAACAAGACCTCCTCGTCAATGAAGAATTGGCCGTTGGGCTTCGGTTCCTGAGTCAAAATCCAGTAAGCTGCATCCGCTAATATTGTCGCATTACGTCCACGTCTTCTTCTGTCTTCGCCAGTGGGATGAATTTGAAGCGCGGCCGTGTCGATGGCTAAAATTTGAATTAATTTCCCGAAGAAATGCGAGGTGGCGCTTACTTGTTCGGGGCCACAGTGCGTTTACAGCAATGTTGAACGGTTTGAACTCCTCTTGCATCCCCAGCACACACATTGACATGCCATACTTGGACATGGTATATGCCACGTGTGGACCAAACCAACCGGGAACCAAGTTGAGTGGTGGGGATATGTTCAAAATGTGCGCATGCGAACTCTTCTTCAGGTGAGGCAAACACAATTTTGACCTATAACGTCACTGGTGCTCACACAAAATTCAAAGGCGTACGTACACCAGAAACGTTCCACGAACGTTAATGCTATGCATCAAATCAAAACGTTTCATCTCGGTGCTTTCGGTGTTGGTCAAAGCGATGGCAGATGCGTTATTAATCAGTATATCGATACCTCCGTATTCCTCAACGGCCCTCTGAACAGCTTGAGCCACTTGGGATTCGTTTCGTACGTCCACAACGCATGCTAAACCCTTACCGCCAACCTCCTCAACTGAAATTGACATAGTTTTTAACTCCAAGTTGTAGTTACTTACTTTCCTTGATCGCATCGTAAATAGTTCCAGGTAACTTCGGGTGTGGTTCAGCAGTTTTTGCCGCGACAACGACGTTCGCGCCATCTCGGGCGGCTTTGATGGCAATTGCCTTTCCAATCCCCCTACTTGCACCGGTAATAAAAAGAGTTTTGCCATTCAATTTTCTAAGGAAAATACGCACTGTTAGTTATTAAAATCGACGCTATAATGGAGGTTAAGCACCCTGTATTGGCCATTTCGTTTCTGGAATGGTTTGTTTATTTCTAACGCATCATACAATCAGTTTATAACAGATAACGGCCAAAGTTCAAATAATATCATTGTACGAATAAACTTTGGTATCATTCTCTGAATGAATTAATTGTGACATTCACGATCAATAATTCCACTATCCTTGATGCGATCGTTTGAATAAAATCTGGAGTTGTATTATGATTTCCTGGTTTTTAGATTCTGTATTAGACTTCCGTGTGACTAAGGAGCTTGCAGCAGTTGCTTTGAGGACAATTCAGTCGAGAGAGTTTTGGGGAAACATTCGATATTTTCGCTGCGTGAGCATTAACGTTGCAGTTCTAATTTACCAGTTAAACCAAACCAAGTAATGCCTACAAGTTAAGTGAATATAACATTTAATACACCACAATAAAGAATTATTGTAGAATCGGACGAAATAACGGCTGTCCTGAAAAAAGCACGTCTCAGAAACATAAATAAAACAACCGCGTTCCGAACAAGGACAAATTAATTAATCTCACCAGAGTATTTCTTCTCCATTTACAATTAACTAGTAGAAATAAATTCCGAATTGTTACTTAACATCGTCACTGAACATAAGGGGATTGAACTTTGTGTATTTCGTAACAATAAAAACCTGCGCATGTGTGTTCAGCCCAAAATGTTTAAGAATATGACGTGTACCAAATTTTGTTCCAATCGGTTCAGACTTTTAATCGAAAATGAGAGTACAGATTATGCGGAATGTGTACTCTGTGATATTTCAATTTCTGAACTAATGATCATACACGTTTCTGTACTAGTTCTTGAGATGTCACATGTTTCATGGGATGTAACATAAATATTGTTTGGCAATAGTGTTATTTTTCCTTTTAGAACTGTTTGTAAATTGTTTATTTAATTGTAAAACGTACTTTATAAAGGTTTATTTAAGCGTTTGCTATAAGAACGTTTGATATCAAGCGAAAGTTAACTAATGTCACCGAAAATGCACACTTGGTGCTGATAACGGAGACGCAGATATTTGGAATGTGCGCGTTATTTTCGGCGTAAGTGACTCGTTCCTGCAAAGGTAGCGTTATCAAGTTTCATTGTGATGGGTGGTGTTATTTAAAAGATCCTGAGGACGGAGATTCATTTATTGTGGAAGTGGTGTTTCATTAAATACTGGAATCGACGCAAAAAAAACCTCGCCGTTTGGCGACGGTTAGAAAATGTGTAGGTTTCTTTACGCTATTCGGGTAGTCTGCCCGAATGGATTAGCTAAAGCCGTAGTTTGTCATTATTATAATAATTTTGTGCTGAAGCGAGTTAAGGTGGAGTTAAGTGCTTCTTATCGCAAACCATTGTACGACCAGATTATTAACAGAGGAAAAAAGCTGTTAGTAATATTAAGACTTTCTTATTTTATTTGTCAAACGCCTGTGTGCGGGGTAATTTGTCCAAACAAGCTTTGTAAACTTCTCGGTCTTTCAGGATTTTGTTTTAATTTTCATTTCATGTTTAGGAATACATTTTTGTCATTGTGCTAAGGGCCGGTTCGAATCCAGGTTCGGGCATGGATATATGTATATGTTGGTAGAGCAGCCTTGGCTGAAACCCCGCCCACTCCAAAATAAAGGCAAAATAAATAAATAAAAAGTAGCGATTTTTTTAAAAGTCAATGAAAATAAATAAAACCTCCCTACGTTCGCTACTTTATTAGTTTCCGGTAACGTGATACGCGCATTTCTTTAATATTAAAAAGGAAACGAGAATTTACGGAATTCACAGCGGCTAATGAACAAGGGAGCAACACAATACCCTTAAAATACGTAATAAAGTCAACATAATGCGAGACTCTAAAAAATGAGCTCTGTATTAAAACGTGAGCAATTCCTTTCATTACTTGTGTACATAAGGTAAATTTCTGATTTAATTAAAATATAAAGCGCTTTAATTAAGGTTACACTACACTTTTTTCTAACTATATTAGTTGTGTCAAAGTAATCGTCAAATGCCGTAATGGCTCGTTTTTAGTGCCCGTTCTCGGTGCAGTAGTCCTAAATCTATTTCGATAGAAGACGCAAAAAGCTGCAATGCTTACAATCAAATTTCGGCCCTTGTTCCACTGCTGTTAATTAGAGCGGTCTCGTGATTGACAAGCGTAGCATTCCAAGTTCGCCTTTTGTGCTAGGGATTCGAAATGATTAATAGCGCTGCGACAGTTCAGGATCATGCAGAACTAGGCGCATTTAAAGGCCACCCCCTTTGCTTTTACACGTATATATGACCTTGATCACTTAATTCTGCTCAAGCTTACTTTATTCGCGCTTGTGTCTTTGTTTTTGGATGGATGGCATACGTCTTTAGCATTTTTTTTTAATTGAGATACTGTGCTAATTTTATAACTAAAAGTTCATATAAACATACGTCCACAGTCGCTTCGCTACCTTGCCTTTTAAATGTTAGGTCTCTACAGGACCTCGACGGTTGTATAAAACGTATTCTGGATATCCGGTAAAATACAAAATCAAAATTTTATAGGAAAACAAGCGCACAAGTTAATTAGCGATATCTACGGGTAAACAAGATGCAGGAAAACGGAACACAACCCCCTTTACATACTTAATGGGAAGAAAAGCACCAAAGCATCCCTTCCTCATCTGAAAAGGAGTTCACACGCTCACATTTTAGCCCCTAAAGCTAAAACCCAAAAGCCGGTCTTCACTCACTCAATTTCACGCAGGATTATTTTAGTTATCAACAAGGCGCGCGGCGGCAGTTCTGATCTGCTGGCCAGGGATTATCTAAGAATACGCGGACCGCATTTTAACGACCGGAAGCCTTTTCCTCGACGAGGACGCCTTATTATCAATCGATCAAAGTTTATTAACTCCATATGGCAAAAACTTTTTCAATAATTTAAATGCAAAACCAAACTCCCCTCTACCCTCCTCTTCCAAGAGTTCAGCCCTGTTTTCCCTTGCTTTTTACTTCCAAATTCTGCATTTCCGCATCTAATCCTCGTTATCATCTATTCCTATTTTTTTCTCTGCCTTAGGTATCTCGGCAAGAACTCTCTGCACCTACTGTTTCCTCGTGAGCCCTCTATTTCCACCCTCTCTTGTTGTATATGTGTATTAATGTCCCTAATTCATCTTCCACCCTTTCCTCTATTTCTCTCTTCCTTTCGACTTTACCCTATTCGTATTCATTTCATTCATAGTATTTTTCCTTCCAATTTCCTTTTAAATTCATCATTATTGACAAGAATCCTTTCACTCATTCACCTTGTCTCGAATCTTACTGCTCTATGTCCTGATGCTGTCATCTTCTCCATTTTCGTTTCCTCTATTAACTCCACTATTTATTTGTATTTGGTACCATACGTATTTAACTCCTCGTAATTCCTTCTTTCCTCCATTTCCATTCTACTTTTCCCTTTCCCCCCTCTTCCGAAATCTCATAACCTTCCCATTTCCAACAATTAACTCCAGTTCCTTTCATTTCCAATAACCAGGGACCATATCTTCCACCTCCCCACTACGATCCCTCCACTTTTACCATGTCTTAGTATTGTTTAAATAACGTAGGACACCCACTGTGTCGTACTTCCCTCCCATCCTTACCATCGTTCTTGTTTCTCCATACAATTCCTTAATTCTGTCTTTTGGCTGGTCTAGTTTCACATCTTTCATCATTCCCTTTCCACTCTGTCAAACGTTGCCTTTAAATCCGCCCTTTTGTTCCAATTCTTTTTCCATCAACCTGTGTAGTACATAATTTTTTCTGAACTACGTCATGGGGACGTTTTATTTGGTATCGGCAGCTGTGCAATAATGGCGCTTACTGTATGATGTAAATTTCCATTTTTCTCTTGGTGTGGTCGCTTTTTTGGATTGAACACAATTTCCATTGTATTATTTGAATTCCAGTTCAATGTTATTTTGTAACTGAATCATTTGTATTTGTAAATTAAAAATTAACTCCTAAAGCGGATGTGTTTTAATGGTGCCAATGAAACGCTTTGCAGTGTTTCTCGAAACAGTTTTGAGTATTTTTTATGTCTGTAAATGTCCCATTGAAAATTTTTAGTGATAATACGATGAAAATGAACAAAATTCTGTTTAAAGTAATGTATTGTAAATTATGCAAGTCCCTCTTTTCTTCATTACAGTTCATTACCCTTGTATTAAAATTTTTACCCCTTAAATTAACAGAATGGGTTCGAATACAGTTTATAAAATAAGCAGAACCCACGCTATAAAACCGTGATACTGTAATGAATTCCTGATTAAAGCCACAATTTGGAATATGAACGGTTATTACGTATGAAAAAATAATTTTCATGGATCCCTCGAGGAAAATCTCGACTTTTTCGGTTAGAGTAAATGAGTAATTGTGTTGCGTGATTAATTTCTCCACTAAATGAGGTTTATTATACAACTACCTAAGAATGGGGTTGTTCTTCCAGTGGAAAACTATTTTAGAATTTTCCTGCACAAATCGAGAATTGGAGGAGTGAAATCATTACATTAACAAATTGACCGGAAATAAGCAAAGTGATTCCTGTTGTTCTCAACATTGTGTTCAAGCATTAGATAATTCATGTATCCAAAGGTAAGTGGTAATTGGTAACAAACATAATACCTACGTGCAATATTACTGATTATACACAACGTACTTCTAACGCAATATTAGTTTACAAGTACCCTATTTGCGCATATTTTGAATAAATAGTCACATATTGTGAAATATCCGCTTGTAATATGATTTCGTCCAGTAATTGGATAGAAACATATAATTCAATAATTATAGCTTTATTTTGAAATAAAAGCTCATATAAATCGGTACTTGTTTCATTATTACCAACTTATAGATAAGTAATCAAATATGAATAACTTTTCGATTTTATAATCATTTTCTTACCTCAAGATGCTTCTATGTCGGAAAATACGAATACATGTGTTAGCGTGAGCAGTTGCGCTTTAAAAACCTAAAAATGGTTTGACAAGCTGCCTTTATTGGTACCGTTTGTACTTTTCAAACTATTTTCCATGTTGACACCAGACAATGGTAACGGCTTCGAAGGACCAATGAAATATTTTACATGCACACAATCGTTTTTATTTTTCAATTCTGGGAA